CTTTACTTCGTAATTTTTAATACAGATATTTTGAGTTTTTATATATTTTTGCCTTGTCGCGAAGTGAGAACTGAATTAATTGAACGAGAAATACTAAATCGTCTGTGAAAAACTGTTTCTTTTTTGTTTTGTTTGCTTAATTTCTTTTATACATCGTTCTAGATTTATTATAGTATTTGAGTAGAATATGTGGCAGCGTTTAGATAATTATTCAAATGATATAAATTTTGTGCATTCTGAGTTATAATATGAATCAAAACAAGGCCATCCGAATAATTACAAATGCGCCTTGGTTCGTACGAAACAGCACTCCTCACAATGACTTAAAAATTAAATTCACGGATTCTGAAATTCTAAAAGCTTCTCACAACACTTTTTATGAAATGTGACAGTCATCCTAAATATCATCAAAAAACTAGGAAATTATGATTTCACAATTGAACAACGCCATAAGAGGCTCCGCACTATTCACCATAATAGTCGGTGGTAATGTATATATTTTCGTTTTCTTCTTATTTAGCCAAGATTTTACTTCATTTTCTTTACTTATAGATTTACTTATCAAATCACAAAGCGCTATGGACTTTGTTCCTGCCAAAGCAGGTAGACTTTGTGTGCAATAGTTTTTACTCTTGTGAAACGTTTCAATGTACTGCAAATTGTGTTTTTCATCATTTTACTTACCAATTATTGCTTATCAGAAGAATAATTTTTATGAAATTTTAAAAATGCCTTACAATACATCCTGTCCAATCAGCGCTCCAGTCAACTAAAATGCTTTTGATCCCTACTAATAGATGGCGCCACACGAGCACCTCATTTATTCAAAGTTTACTTATTTTACGGACGGCGACACAGGAGCCTCCGTCGCTAGTAATCTCTGAGTTCTAGCACAGCATGTGTACAAGTACTTCTATATTATTGGATACAACTTACTCGATTTTTCAAGCATTTAAAAGACAAGTATCATAGACATCGGTAAAGGCCGTTAATGGTCGATTGCCTCTTACTAAGTGATAAGATATAGACATAAACATAGTTATAATGTGAATAAAATATAGCCTGTTAAGTGAGCCTAGCGTCAGAGTGTCGCTACGATAAACACATATAGTGAATTTTGAAGAGTGCATTTATTCTATTGCACCTTATGCGCTATCGATGAAGTAGATTTAATTCAATCCAATAAGTTTAAATGAAGTGCAAGATAAAATGCGTATAATTTAATATTCCGTACAAGGAAGTCATGTGGTGTACACATCAGATTTTTTTAATTAGTCGTGCGCTCAACTTGCAACCTCGAAATGCTAAGAGAAAAGTCTTAAACCTTAAAAGTTGAAAAGACCTACCTGAAAGAAAAAAGTGAATTGTTAAAAGATTTTCATGTTCTTAGTAATTGCAACCAGAGAATAACTATATTTGTACTAGGAATTTCCACAGCTGCACTGTGCAATTCACTTAAAATAGGGGAAAAAAATCGGAAAGCCTTCCGATTTTATATTTCGCCCAAAGGGACCTTTTCTTAACGTTTTGTGTGTTAACTAATACCATGTTCTTCGTAATTAAAGCACATAAAATTCTGCTCAACAGAAATATCACAAAATATTTAGAAACAGAAAATTTTTAGAATTTCCGATACAAAAGTCTCGCGAGATGGAAATAAAAATGTTTTTTTCCCTTCTGTGTTGCCACTGCTCGCTTTGAATCGTTGATAATAAAAAAATAGTTAAAGTTTTACAAAATATGAAATAGATAGTTAAAAAAATTCGAAATTCAAAATTGGGGCTACCAGTTGAAAGTCAAAATTTGATGGCTCTAGGTAACATCCTCGTTTCACAATGCGAGGAACATACATACATACATGCCTGCAGATTCTTCATTATTTAATTTCTTTAAAAGTGACACAGAACGATAATATTTGGTGGCAACAGTTTGGAAAGTGATGCGCCATTTATAGTAAACAGACGCAATTTAAAATCTGAAATGCTTCAGATTTTAAATTACGTCCAGAGGGAACTTTTTTTTCGACGCTTTTTGTGTCGCATTTAAACCATAAAATTCAGTTCAACAGAAATATCGCAAAACAATTTTAAAATCAGTATATCTTTAGAATTTCCGATACACAGTCTCCCGCGCTGGAGATAAAATGGTTTTTCTGTACAACTTTGCCATTGCTCGCTTTGAAATCCTTGAGTTTGTTAATCAAAAATTTGTTAAAGTGTTAAAAAATCGATAATAAAACAAATTCCAAATTTCAAATTTGGCCTTCCAGATGCCCATATTCTCAGGAGGATTACGTTATTCAAAATTGGATGGCTGTAGGTACCGTCGTTTTATCACAATGCGAGAAACATATATATATTTATGCGTATTCTTAATTGTTTAATTTCTTCAAATAGCGATAATATTTGGTGGCAATAGTTTAAAAAGTGATACAGCCTTTTAAAGATTTGAACGCAAAATGCCAAAACGAAAACAATAGTCCCTCAGGGAAAAAGCCCCTTTGGACTAATAATAAAACTGAAAGTTAAGAATTTACTTGATTTTTGAGAAACTTATGAAAATTTCGTAGAATTTGAGTAGAGGATTATGGAAATTCAGTCCATAATAAAATTATTGCCCTAGTAAAAAGTGCCATTGTTACGATTTTATTTAGTCTGAATACTGAAAATTCTATGTGATAAAGGATATATACTATAGGGCAAATTCACTTGATAATATGTAATAACAATCCAAGTGATTGCTAAATTTAGTTACAGTACATAATTTCTTCTACATAATATTTACAACTGGCGTCGGCAATCCTTTTTGGCTGCGAATCAAAATCAACCAAACTGGGTGTATTAAGAAGACATTTCGAGTCCGTGGTATTTTCATTTTAAAACAGTCTTTTTTGCTGAATAATGAGATGAATTTTATTAAGAAAAATAATTACAATACGCCTCAAAATTTAAACTTTAGAAATTAAAATTGTAATTGTAATTACTGAAAAACAAACGTAACTATACTTTTCTTCTCGATATCAAAGCCTCTGATTCTGAACTTGTCGACGTCAATTTAGTCAACTCAGTTTTACAGTTAGTAGTCTTAAGACGAATACAAGCATCTGAATTTTGAACAGTTAAGCATCTCCTGTTCTTACTTAAAATAAACTTCATGTGTGAAAATATTTTATAGCATTCAAGTTGAACCGATTGCAGACAAAATGGCAAAGGTATTTTTGTCAGAGATGAAAACTCCGTAGGAAGTGATGTTCAACCCGTTGATACCATGAAAAGATCACAATCTTCTGATTTTTCCAAGTTATTTCGTAATGCCGGAATTTATCTATTCATAATCCTGAACTTAATCTATCATTTCTAAACTAAAATTGCCAACTTTTAATTTTCAAAAATACTGCAGATCTAAGACATTTTCTTCTATTTTGTTGGGCTTTATTATAAAAGTAAGCATTTCATCGTACTTCTTAAACATTTGAAATCGACCTTGAAATTCCCTTTTAATGTACAAAATCCAAATTATTAAGATTGCTTTACTTTTTCATGTGGCTCTTTTATCAAGCAAGGGAACGAGACGAAATTCTTTCCTTTTTATGTTTGTTTCTGTAATATTAATTTTGAATAAAAACTCTATTCCTCGTACATTTTCAAAATTTTGTGGTTATTTTCTTGGAGTCGTAGATTGCAATCATTGTAATGGTTCATTATGTCTGTTGAGAGCACAAATTTCAAAAACCATTCTTTATCATTGAGTCAGAGAATAATGTTCACTAATTTCGTAAAGAAATATTTGTATGTCATTAAAATATTCTATGAATCTATTAAGAACTTTGCCTTGGTTTAAGCATCGTATTTCGGAATGTAACTGCAAATATTCATATTTCGATCGTTTTCCATTTTCTTCATGTACGATACAATGAAACGATAAAAGCAAGCTTTCAAATTTATTTTCGATTAGTTCCACAAATCGAACAGTTTTTTTCCTTTCATAGCTGTAGCACCATTAGTTCTTATGTAAAACGATATATAGTCAAACTCGCTTATAACGAGCTGGGAAGTGATAACATTGGCGTTAAGAGATAGATAATTTTCAAATTCTTCTCTACTCATTTTCAAATTTTCCAAGAAGTCTACTTCTCACTGATTCTTTTTCCTCAGTGATTAGCCCCTCTTGAGAAATGTCCAATCAAGCATTACGAAAGAATTGGCAGTGCATGTTGATCTAGCGTTTTCCCATGCATCGTTCATTAAACGCATCGTTTCGAATACGTTTACATTAGCATTTGAGGTTTTTTTTTTTTTTTTTTTTTCTTTTTTTCCTGTGGAGAAGCATCAGAATCATCAAGTCTTATGAAACTTGATTTAAAACTTCTCATGACCTATTGGCTGAAAAGCACTTGTAAAATTTGGTGGTAAAATTGCAATCCTGATCACTTCCAAAGATAAAAAAGGCCGTCTTCATGTATGCGCAGAATTTACGACTCATCACTAACTTTCGGTTGATTTCGGAATGTTAAAGAAATTTTTACAATAAAGGATTAGCTGAGCTGGAGAGGTGGAAGTCAATAGAAATTTTATAAATCACAAAACTAATACTCGCTATAACCGGGGTTTGCTAGTTAAAAGCTAGTTATGCTCCCGTAGACGTAATGTTGTACCAACCAAGTATTTTCGATTTCCTCGTTAAATCCGGGTTCTCGTTAAATCAGGGCTCGTTATAAGCGAGTTGAACTGTACCTTTTAAATAAAATACTTGCCCATTTTTGCAACTTTTTAAAAATAATCTTGTAAAGATTTTTAAATTGAAACCTTTGCTAATGAATAATCTATTTTAAAGGGCAATTATTTTTACTTGTTCTTATGACATGCTTTTATTCTTATGAAATCTAAATTTAAGATAAAGTTGTATATCTTATTTAACATGTATAGTAGTATCGAGAAAGATTATTGAGGTTTTTCTCGTTTTAGTTCATTATAAGATAAATCAGAAATAAAAATGACCCATTTAAAAAAGAATATATATTTATTAAACTACTAAAATCACAAGTTTCGCTGCTTCTTCAAGAAACTTTAAAAGATTTGATACAATACATATTTTACAAACTTTTAAACTTCAGCTACAAATTATTGTTTTCTAAATTTTCCATTTCACAAATTAAGGGAAGGATGCATTTTACTTTAAAGATTCTTTACGAAAAAATTAGAAGAATGTCAAATTTACATACAAAAATTTACTTTGTACATTTTGCAACTCAGGCAATTTTAACACTTAAGGTTAGAATTATTTAAGTATAATAAAAATATTTAAAATCTTAGATAATCTATTTAACTCAATGACATTTACACGCACGAAAATAAATTATGTTACACATTATGAATAATTTAAGATAAGTAGCTGATAGAAGAGTAAGTTTTCGTTATCATCATCCTTTGAATAAAAATATCAAATATTAAAAGCTATATTCCATTTTAGAAATTCCCGTTAATATAAAATTCTTAGAAAATTATTCTTATTAAGACAAATGTAGATAATAAAAGTAAAAGCAATTTAAGTATGGAATAAGAATGCGCTAGTTAAATTAGCGCATATTTATACTCATGTGTCACTTGCAACCACCCTGCCATTGGCACTTTTTATTTCTAGTTCAAAAGATTCCAGGTGTCCTCCCTTAGAAAAAATATTTATATCACAATGTTTTAGGAAACATTTTGGACACTAACATATCGAACTCATGAATACATTTAATCAGCAATTCACTTTGCGTTTTAAAGGTATTTGATAGATGTCTTCTCATTTAATCGACGAAATAAAGCTGGTAGATATCTGGCTATCATCAAGCAAAGCGAGAAAGTGTGGCGAAGGTAATGCATCTGCAGATATTTACGTACTCGATTCCGTCAATATTAGAAGACGACATATTTCGGTTAAGTAGCACCAGTGGATTGTCCATTTGGCAGAAAGCGACAATATCAGACACTTTCACATGTGGCTTTGCCTCCTTCTTGGAGCTTCTGATTCCTCTCTGTAGCTCGAAAGGCTGTTTCTGGATCCGTAGGTTTCCATTCTGAGATTGCGACCTCCTGTTTCTACATCAGAGTCGTCGCTCATAGCTGGATTTACTTTACCGTTTTGGCGACCTAGAATTAAAAGTTATATTTTTTAATTGTATTATATGAATAAAATATAAAATCAAATGTTTAATAATAAAAATTTTCTGTAAGGCACACAACATATGACGTTAGAAACGTTTTTATTTAAATTTAAATAGTTCTGAAAACGCTTATAAAATTAATAGATGAACATATTATTATTAACAAAATTTATTCAAAATTTATGAATTAGTTATATTCTTAAATTTAGTGATACAAAACCGAGTTTAAGAACGAATATAAATAGGTGCGCGTTGACAGTAAGTGATAACTGTGCGAGCAACCAAGTTGATAAAGGTAAGACAAAAAAAGTATCATCATATTACAAATGATTATGACAATAAAATTTGTAGAGACATAAGAATTTTTTTGGAAGCAGGAAAGATGAAAAATGAGCAACGCCCTCGCCGGGAATCGAACCACGGACCTCTGGAATATGCGGGCAGCGTGCTGACCACTGCACTACGAAGGCATGCTAAGAAGGCGGAAGAAATACCTTATATACTCCCCCTTTTAAAGAGCGTCTAAGCTTTTAGGGGATCCGATCGCCAAATCCTAGGTGTGGAGAATCATCCTCCACCACCTTTCTTTGTTCGGGCGTCAATGTAGACACATTAGGTATTTTTTGAAAACAGGAGATACGTGAAATGAGCAACGCCCTCACCAGGAATCGAACGACGGACCTCTGGAATACGCGGCCAGCGGGCTGACTATTACACTACAAAGGCATGCTAAGAAGGTGGGAGAAATTCCTTATAAAGTAATCTGCATATACCCACCTATGATACTTTAAACTTCGTAATCCAAATTTGTTACATATTGCACAAACTCTATGAGAGATTCTGTAGTTACGTGGCATATATATAAACCGTAAGGAGCAAATGACAGTGCTTTCCCACCTAACTTCCAAATTCGACAGGCATAAACTCTTGAAATTTTTTTTTCATATGTATGTTATGGTTTTTATATCGTTACTGAGACCATAATGAGTTAAAAATTGATGTTAACCACGCCGTAGTAACAATTACATCCAATATCCTTCAACGTGTGTGGATTGAAACCAATTATAGAGTGATTATACATCATTTGTTAAAAGAATCTTGCTTAGAATATTTGTAATGTGTTAAGAACCTCAGATAGCCAGAGTTTAGTTTGATGCGCCGCAGGTTAATATGTGCCAATCAAATTGTTTGCTGTGATCATCTGTAAGAGGATTATTTTTGACTTATCAAGTATCGTGCTAGAATTTTGTGATACATTAATTTGCAACCTTTAAGGAACAGAAATTAAGTTCTGTTAAATTACTATTATCTTTGTAATCCACAAATTATGATGAGTTATTTAATTTGATTCTTCGTTTAATTTTGTATGTATTGAACTGCATACCAGATGAAAACTCATTGACTTAGTGTCTCAAATAACAGACAATTACGTAAAGAGATGATAAAGAGATAGACCAGGTTTTTTAATCAGTTTAAAACAGAAATCCTTAGTTATCCTTGCTCGCATTTACCAAATGTCAAGAAGCTTTTTGTATTATACGGATGTTTCAAGCTACACTGATGGAACAGTACTTCTTGGGGCTCTCCTACCCTTCTTCCCCTTCCATTAACTACTAAAAAGAACCATTAGACTAAAAAAAAACCATTTGTATGGTTTCAAAATTTACATATATTTTTATTTGTTTATGCTCCGGATTGCTTATATTTGCATGTTTTATTTTGGGTTTTCGAATCGGTCTGCTCATTATAATATTTTGATCCACTTTACAATTTTTTTATGCTATAATTCTGCAATTTTTTATACTGCTTACTTCGGTCTGTAGTAATTAGGTCGGTAAAGACACAAATTACTTTGATTGTTTTACTTAGATTACTTTAAGTTTTAAACTTCAATTTGTGTCTTTATTGACTTAGAAACAAGCTGATTTATTTACTTCTTTCGTTGCACCAACCTCCTAATCATGATGCAGCGAAAGATGCAAATTTCTTCATTCATTTTTGATTTTTGCATGTTTTGCCCCCTTGAATCTTGTCCTAAGCAATCTGAATTCTAACTCATAAAAATAAACAAGGTATTATTTGAAAACTTGATTGAACTATCCATGAAGTGTTTTGACTATGAAATGTCTACGACTAAGAATATACGTGACCATTATTAAAACTTAATTATGATTGGTATAATATACTTTATCTCCAGTTGCCAAAATGGGTAGGAACTCTTTCTAGTAGACATATAACGGCTAGATATTGATTTAGAATTTGCGTAGTTAAAAATCTTGCATTTAATGTGTGTTATTATTAATTTCACTGTAACTGTTCGTTTTTCATTTCCTTTTATGTGCGGGCATGTAACTGCTATAAATTCCTTTTTTGACTTTCGATCAGTCAAAATTTTCGTTGATTTTTTTACATTGTTATTTCACTGTAATTTATAAACCTACTACCCTTAAAAATACTTTTTGACCCAAAAGGGCTATTCATCTCGAAACGCAATTTTGAGTTGTTTCATTTTTCATTCGAATCTGTTGCAATTCGAAAAAGAGTAAGATTTTATTTTTTCATATTTAATCTGTTATTAATTAATAAACTAAACTATTTATAAACAACAAATTTAGTTTCTAAAAATATTATTTTTTTACTTTGTAAGCTGACTGATTTAAATAAAAATGTATTTAATTCATGATACATCTAATTAAACGAATAAAATATTTTTATGAAATTACATTATATATTTCGGCACCTCTTAAATATACAGATATATAATGCTTCCACGTTGGTCTAAATGCGCAGTCGTCTAATATCTTATAAAATGTTTCGCTATTCCATCTGGGCCATGTCTGTTGATAATCTCTATCGATAAACCATATTAAACTTCAAAACAGCCTTTTTGGACGATCGTTAAAAACTTTCACAGATTAAAAAATTTATTTATTAGTCCAAAGGCATTTGAGTCCTGAAGGACTATTACTTTCGTTTTGGTATATTGCGTCGGACTCCTATAAATGTCGGTTCACTTTTCAAACTGTTGCCACAAAATGTTAGAGTCCTGCAATATATTTAAAGAAATTAAATAATGAAAAATCTGCATAAATGTAAGTATATTTAAAGCATTGTGATAAAACAACGGTATCTAGAGCCATCCAATTTTGAATGACGTAATCCTACTGCAAATGTGGGCGCATCTGAAATCCCAAATTTGAAATTTGGAATTTGTTTTATTATCGATTTCACATTTTGTAAAACTTTAACGAATTTTTGAGTAACTCAAAGATTTAAAAGCGAGCAATGGCAACACTCTACGGGGGAAGGGAACCTTTTTATCTCCAGCGCCGTCGAACTGTGTATCGAAAATTCTAAAGATAGGCTCATTTTAAAATTATTTTGCGACTTTGCTATTGAACTAAAATTTACGGTTTAAGTGCAAAGAACATGATATTTAATAAATAAAGGTAACACACAAAACATTTAAAGAACGCCCCTTTGGACGTAGTTTAAAATCTGAAACTGTTCAGATTTTTTTATTTTATTATTATTACTGAAAGAGGGAAGCTGTGTCTTAGAAATAGTTATATTATTTTATTATAATCCATTTGAACGACACAACAGTACTAAGAAAATAATCTGCACTAGGAGACAGTAAAACTGGTCCAGGAGGCTATAGTAAACTTACTCGGTGAGATTTTCAGAACAACAGTGATGAGAATTTTTAATATTTCAGTTAAAGTTTTAGGAGAAAAAAAAATTAGATACTAGTCAAAGAAAATTTAACTTTCAGCAACTTTTTAAAAAGGAGTTTCTAAATGTCATTTATAATGGACTTATTTAAGTTTAACAGAGAAGAAAAGTGTATTATTTATAAGATGTACACAGTAAGTGCTTCAGGTATATTAACTGAAGTCGTAATCAGAATTTATCAGCAATTTCATTAATTTAAGAAATCTATACAAAATCAAAACAACATCTGACATAAAACGAACTGATCATATATTCTCACCTGCAAACAAATCTTCAATTCTTCTCGTTTCCATGGTCCTAGATCTACCGTTTCTGAGGACATATTCATTTTTTGCTCCGAGTGTCTCCATTTTGTTACTACTTCCTAGGATGTAATTTCTACGCATTTCTAGAGCTCTTAACGTCTCTCGGTTACGTCCTAGATGATGTAGACCACTTAAAACGGGAGTTGCTGGAAAAGCAAATTAAAAAAATTGTCAGCAGGGCGAAGTTCAACGGAAGACATATTAAATAGACTTTTTTTTTTCTTCTTTTAAATGGAGTTACTTCCTCAAGAATAAAATGCTTAGAATTTGGGTGATTTTAAGAAAGATAAAGTGTCTAAATGTGGAGCATTGTAACTATGTACACTAAACTCACCTGCCACTTTGTGCCCTGGGTCTTGAGCATTAATGTTCATGAATCGTTTCCTAAATGCAACATCTAGAGTGCCAATGCGACTCTTCTGGTTTTTTCTCTTCTCCAAGTTCTGGACAATTTTCCTCCTGGCCAATCTGTCGCCGTAAGAGGAATCCTCACTTTTGGAGTCATCATCGATACCGCGCAAACGCTGCAACTGTTTGGCTATTTGGACGGCATTTTTGTCTATAAAAGCATCATCGCTGATGTCCTCAACCTGCAAAGAAATATAAATTGACGTTTTTATAGAATATGTTTTTAAGGAAAATATTGGCTTATTGAACAGTTTTTAAATAATTTATCATAGTCGTCAAATCATATTTATTTGTACCTTTTGATTGAAGCAACCAAGTTCTATAGAGGCCATGATGTGAGATAATGTGCCAAAACGATGAAACAACATAGCAGTGAACTGGATAATCAATATCAAGGCGAAAAAAACGGCAAATACCAAACCAATGGGTTCTAACTGAAGGTATTCTTTGTCGATTCGTACCTCGCTAGTTTCAGGAATGTAAGTTATGTTTGTTTTGACACCAAGAGGCCAGTCCCAGTGCAGTAGGTCCTTGTTTAGTTGCATCAGGAATACTATTAGGATAAAAAGAGCATTGAACATGAAAAATCCAAACACTACTTTATTTCTCAGTTCTTTGAGCTCAGCAGCTACTCGGGCTTGATGTTCTTTGTTATTATCTAACGGATACAGGTACTTTTCGATGAGATCCTTCCAAAACTGCATTTCTGCAGCAGACAAATACTCCACTTCTCCTCTTTTCAGGTCTTTATCCTCTATCCAGTAAGGATTAATAAGATCGTCTCGTTCTGGCTTGGGTTCTGTAGAATGAAAATTAATATATTAAACAAATTTTAATTCTTTTGAAGTACTCAGTTATTTCAAATATTCTAAGGTCTTGGATGCAGCATTTATATCTCTCTTTCTCTTACTACATTGAATTATTTCATGAGGAAAGGATTAAAATGTTTACAGAAACCATATATAATTTTCAGACACTAATGTTTCCCTATGAATATCATGATATCATTACGTATAATAATATCAAGTATATGAGAATATTTGGCGAAGCTTGAGTTCTTTTTGAAAATAATATGAGATCTCGCCCTCTATTATTAAAACTTCAATTATCTAATTATTAATAAAGTTGAATTCAATAAATTAATGTAGATTAACTTGAAAATTGAGAAGTGTGTAATAAAGCAATAAGACCAGCAAGCTCTAAATGTGTTTCTGTGCACTTAATATACTGTAACTTATTTTGCAGTGTTTAACAAAATAACAGATGATCTTCTTAGTAAAACATAAATTTTATTTTTAGTTTATGGAGATAGATAATTTGAATACAATCTTTTAGTTATAAATTTTTCGGTACTTTTCCGTTTTCCGGCGCAAGCGATAAGTCGCCGAAAATGGTACAACCGATGCCAAACGGAATATCTCCGCTGGTAACCATTTACGCCTCATTTTCAAAACAAATCGCAGCCATTTTTTTATCAGATTAATTGTTTCCTTCAATATTGGAATAAAATTGCATAGAATTTTTACCAGATAGTTCAATTTTATGTCCTACGGCCATTTGCGGTAGTTAAATCAATTAGGATACAATCACACTGCTCATCCGAAGGTAAAAATACAGAAAAGGCAAAGTAAATTGTTAAATTCAATCAATTCTAATGCGAATGCACTAGCGAAGTAAAGTACTGCGGTTTTACATAATTTCTGAGTAAGCTATTCGTGCGAATAAATATGATTCTTGCATTTAAACTTCTATTCCATATTAAGATTTAACTTGAAATTAATGTAGAATAAACTAATAACTGGATAACTTGAAATTTAATAACTTGAAATTAATGAGAGAATTAGATTTTTGTAGCTTAGTTTACGTGAGATGAGATCACTTGGAGTCATGTGATATGAACCGGCGAATCAAGATGCTGTACCATGGAAGCATAGTAAATTCATAAATGAATTTCGTTTTAGAAATTTATTGTCTTTATTTATTGCCCTTTTACAAAATTTTAAACGATATTAAAATGTTTATGCCATCAAAATAAAAAATCCTTAGAACTAACATTTGTTAACGTGTTTTATGTGTATACCGTGTGTTGTCGCTAATAAAGTCTGCTTGGCGAGATTTACGCCGGCGAAACGGAAAAGTACCAATTTTTCATACATCTACTACTGGTAAAACTTTCAGAAGAAGAAGAATTTTAAACAACCTCTGACGTTGCTGAGCAACGGTTACGTGATACAAATATAGCGTTGCCACTCCAATAACAAGGATAATAAATATAATGATTTGTTAAATAATAAAATATTACAATACGTTCTTTTTTAAACAATAAAAGCTAACCTAGAGTGGTTTTTAATTGGAAATTTAAATAACAGAAACTGATAATTTGTCTCAATTGTAGACCTGAAGAAAGGCAAATAATAAATACTTTAAGAGTTACTAGTTTAGTAAAAGAAAAAGTAGCTAACAATTAGTAACCTTTGCTTATTCGAGGTGGAAATTATACATCCATTGCCTGGCTTGATGTTGCTCGAAGGCAATTCATAGATAATTATTTTACAAATAACTTTGGCAGGAATTTAGGTTATAACTATTTAAAAAATATCCTGTATTTATAAAATTTCCGAATCTGAAAAATATCCTGTGTATCTGTAAAATTTCTGATAATTCCTTTTAAAACATGTATTCATAGCGATACGAAAATGGCATGGAATTACGGAATAAGTACATCTCAAACTGGTACTAAAAGCATGGTTAATGGCACAAATGGAAAGTGGTATCAATAATTTACTTCAGAAATATTAAATATAGTATTTAAATCAGCGTACAATTTCATGGATATTAAGAAGCTCCAGTTTTTGCGTTTTAAAAAGAGAAAAGAAATTCCGCAAATATGAAATGAATGGGGCGGAAATTATGAGAGCTTATTATATAAGATTGAATTTCAAACAGTGAAGACAAAAGTAAGATTATTTGCGTGTGCGTGTGTGAGATTATGGCAAAGCCCCGAGGGCTATCTGCCTAAGGGGAGGGATGCCTTCGTGGAGGACGTTCTAAGGGAAACTGGCTCGTATACGCGTTACACATGGGGAAAACCACGAAAATGCCCATGCAGCCAGCCCGTTCCCGATTCGAACCTCGGACCGAACTACCAGTGTTCAGCGACTTTACCGCTCGACCGCTGGTGGGCCCGTTAAGATTATTTGCAAACCTGATGATGCATTGATTAAAGCAATATAAGTAATTATCTTTGGTTACTTTCTTGTTAAAGCGATCATTTCATAAGAATTTAGCTACATTTGAAATTTGCGCATTAAAGCTTCGTTGTTTAATTTTGCCAGTTTTGGCGACTAAGTGCGGTGGCCACTTTATCAAGAAAGTACTGAGTTTTTCTTTTACACGTTTAGATAAACTTTAATAAATAATTAAATATTTGATAACATACCATGAAAACTTTTGTCATAATTTAGGGTGCATATCAACTGTTATTATCAATATGCTCTCTTTATAATTTATTAGAAAATAAAAGTACAAGAATTAATTTATTATTTAATTAGGAAATAAAAGTACAAGAAGTTTTAAAAAAGATAAAGCACAAGTTATAATATTGGATGTACGCAGAAAGTTCTCAGTAGTCGGTGCACTAAAATGCAGACTAAAATGGATTTTAATTCCATTTATAAAGAAGATAAAGAGCATTTAAAAGCATAGATTTTTAGCAACAGCTTTATAGCTTCATGTGTAACATGTTCGTTGATGAAAGCTGCGAGTTCTATATATTGCACTTGTGCACAATTAAACATCGCTTGTGTGTGTTGAATCTTGTATGCGTCCGTACGCCGAATGCTCTCAATATCTACTCGAAAAAATGACGCAAGTAGTAGATGAAATGTTTAAATAAAATTATAATGGTAATCTTTAAACATTTTAGCAAAATAAAATAACGGGTTATTTTATTCAAAGATTTGGGGAGGATTCAAAGATTATTATTATTATTATTATTATTATATGGCTATTATTATATTTATTATTATTTTCATGTTTTTAATTTATTACTTACACGAAGATTGCCTGTTTAACTATTCATCTCACTTTATTTATCTAGAAGGCTCAAATGTTAGATAAGGTCTTCCCGTACATAGCTTTTAGTATGCTTACAAATCACACGTTTTTAAATCTTTATGAGTTTCATTACCCATTTTGCCATATCCCTTAAAGAAAAGGAAAAAGAGAAGATAAAGTGAATGGCGAAAGACTGGATGAATTTACACTTTTCAGCTTCAGTTCCTATGTAACATTAGATTAATCTGAAAGCAAATAATCGAGCGCACTTTCATTCTTTGCTTTCAGTTTTAATACTACTTAGGCTTAGTTTTAAAAACAAAGAAATAATCCATTTATTAAGAAGAGATCTGTTTAAAAGTTATTTCCCCACATACCTAATCTTTCGCTATTTTCTTCATCTGAATCCGAGTTGAATTCTGCGTTATCAGCATCGTTCTCATTTACAGGCACCAATCCAGCTTCGGACGCTGACTTGACCGATCCTCTGCCACCTACTGAGGTTTTTCGGCCACGGAAAGGAATAACCCTAGAGAGTTCTAACTGCTTTTCGAGATTCCCGATCTTCTTATTCACCTGCTCAAGCTGCTCACTTATCTGAAGAAGATGGACCTTGTCGTCGTTGGATTTCGGGTACGTAAAGAATTTGCAGGTGAAAAGGTTGGCCAAACTGAGCGTGATGCTTCCCTCCTCGTTGTCGCCTCCTCCAAGACCTAAAATAGTAATAAAAGAACTTGCAATCTGAAATCTTCACATAATGTTCTAGCATATTACAGGAAATATTGTTATTCAAGAAGCTGCACATAACATCTAAATAAAATCTTATAATCGCTAAATAAAATAAAAACTCAACTTGGGGGGGGGGCGAAATTGAAAATTGTATGAAAGGAAAATATAAAAAAAGTGAGTTATAATTTGGAAGAGTTTAATTTCCTTTTGAATAAAACTAAAAGAATACACATACAAACAATACACACACACACAATATTTATGCATATACATATATAGAGAGAGCAAACTTACTACAAATCCTAATCACTGTGATTAAATTTTGTTATTAATGCAGGATGATAGTATATATCACTTGTTGCCGTACTGCTATAAAGCAACACTTGTTGCAAAATATCATTAAGAAATTGATTTGCTAAAATGTCAGATAAAATTACTTTAAAATAATGTACTTTTATAACATGGAAGATATACGAAAGATCTTAAGCCTCGTTAGAGCCAATAATCTCAGCTTCTAATCTTTACGTGCGTCAATCAAAATACACTAAATGAAATCTACTATAATAAATACAAAAACAGCTTAAAATAAAAAAAAATCTGGAAGGTTTCAGATTTTAAATTACGTTCAAAGGGGCGTTTTGTGTGTTACCTTTATTTATTAATTATCATGTTCTTTGCAATTAAACCATAAAATTCAGTTCAACAGCAATGCCGCAAAATAATTTTAAAACGAGCCTATCTTTAGGTTTACCGATACACATTTCCGCGCGCTGGAGAAAAAAAGTTTTTTTTTTTTTCCATAGTGTGTTGCCATGGCTTGCTTTTAAATCGTTGAGTTCGTTACTCAGAAATTCGTTAATTTATGCAGATTTTTCATTATTTAATTTCTTCAAACATAATGCACATTTGGTGGCAACAGTTTCAAAAGTGAAACGGACATTTATGGCGATTCAACGCAAAATCGCAAAACGAAAACAATAGTCCTTCAGGGACAAAGTCCCTTTGGATTAAAAATTCACGCTGCTAGGAATTAAAGAAAATTTCAATAACAGAGTCAGAATGCATTTCGAAGAAATATATAAAATTTATTATTAATTTATTAAAAATGACCGTTTTTTCTCTCTCATCAACATATGCACAGTTTGTATGTAAGTTTCTTGCTCTTATTAAGTTCTATTTACGCATTAAAGCTTCGTTGTTTAATTTTGCCTGATGTAACTAACATTTTATATTTCATAGAAAACTGAAAATTCTATAGCAATGTTTATTTTAGTTGACAAGAAATTAAACAAACTTTGTTTTATATCATATTTATATAACACTAAGATGAATGAATATGTTTTCAGTCCGAAAATTCGGTAGTGAGCTTTCGGGGAATTAATGCGAATTAGAACCCCCTACCCCAGCAACATATTTTAACAATAATCATTAAAAACATTTATTATTTTAACAATGACCTCTGTCTGACAGTTTTTAATGGACAACCGGAAGTGACACTTTAAGCTCTTAATAGTTTTACAGCAATGAACATACACATATAAACCATAACACATCTCTGTAATGCTTTACATAAAGCTCGTTGTTATGGAATACGGAAATGTGGGGAGGTCATGTGTTAGTTACATCACGTTTTTTTTTAGATTGCTAAATGGCAAGTAAAGGAATATATTTTGCTTGTAAAATTAATATGTAGGGGGGACCAATTCAACTATGTTATGTATGACTGGCTGTTTTGCGGGGTGAGAAAAGAAAAGAAAGGAAGAGCTGAATTTCATTTTGGTAATTCTGAAAAATCTATAACAAAAATGATCATATTTTTTTTTGTTATTTTATATGCACAATTTTATCTTATGCTTACCTATCTAGGTAACAATATCTTAATAGGCAACTAGATCGTATTTGGTTTATTATAAATTAGTTTATGGTTTACTTAGTTATGCCAAAGTACTCGACGGCTATCTGCCTAAGGGGAGAGATGTCTTCGTGGAGGACTTTCTAAGGGAAATTAGCTCATATACATGTTACATATGGGGAAAACCATGAAAACACCCATGGCAGCCAGTCCGTTTGCCGAGATTAGAACCTCAAATAAATTAGTTTATAAATTAATTCACTGGATGAAAAATAATTTAAAATTTTCTTGCTCCTAAAATGTTCTATTTAGTACACTTTATATTTTATAGAAAACCGAACATTCCATAGCATTATTTAGTTTTAGTTGACAAGAAATCAAACTAAAATTTGTTTTTATACCATATTTATATAACACTAAGATGAATGAATATGTCATATTTCTAACTTCAAGAAATTCATAAAAATTTCGCGACTCTAGAAGCTGAACTCGGCACGCAATTATTAATAATTAACTAGTAAGCATGGGCCCACCAGCGGCCGAGCGGTAAAGACGCTGAACACTGGTAGTTCGGTCCGAGGTTCGAATCCCGCGAACGGGCCGGCTGCATGGATGTTTTCGAGGTTTTCCCCATGTGTAACGCGTATACGAGACAGTTTTCCTTAGAAAGTCCTCCCCGAAGGCATCCCTCACATTAGGCAGATAGCCCTCGTGTGCTTTGCCATAATTGAATAATCCAATTCTATTAAGCATGTTTCAAATGAAGCAAATTCAACATTTTATGGACGAATGTTTTCCTTCTGTTTAAATTTAAATTATAAAATTTACTTTGCTTATGTCATTCTTTCTACATTTAACATATTTATTTGCAGGTTTTTCATTTTTTTCTGTATTTTATCCTTTATTGCAATTTCTTTAATTTCATACTTATTATACTTCATATTTCACTTATTTGTAACCAATTTGAAATTTATGAACTTCTAACATAAGGGTTATATGATTATAAGCTATTCTTCATTAAATTTCAGTTTTCATCGCTGTCCCTGCATACAAGTAACCAAGATAAAATATAACAGTTGACATGTCTGTAATATAGTTCTTAAAAATATTTTTAATATTGAACTGATTCTTGATATAAAACACAAATTTTATACTAAATTTCTTAATCGTTGTGTGTAATCATTTATCTCAGAAAATTGTGTTGAGTAATATTTAGTAAAACGTAAAGCTCCTAGCATTAATTTTTAAATGTTTTATTATACTGTGCAATGTTACGTGTTAAAATTGCATTTAACATTCATTGTACAGAGAGAAAAAAAATCTTTCCGCCGTGTTAATCCTTGTAAAAGGCTTCAAAATTTCCACAAAAAAAAATTCGTTAGATTTTGGGTTCAAACAAATATCGTAAAGTTTCGTAACGAATTTTTTTTCGTAATTTCGTAACAAACGAATTCATAAGTATTCAAGATTAGGGAAATTAAATTATAACTATTTCATCACTTACATAAAATACATTCTGTACTTGTAGTAAAGGTTCGTAAAGTTTCTGAATGTCTTCTGAATCCGTTCGTAAAGTTTCTGAATGCCTTTGTAAAAGCTAAACATTAATAAACTGACTAGTTATATTTTTCTAAATTCATGATATACTCCCAAAATGTTCTCTTTGTGATGAGATTATATTTTTAATTACAGGCTGCATTTATCCCATGTAGCTCACAGGTATTAAGTCTAAGGAGTAAGGAAAATACCTAGGAAAAGATACGCTTTTCGTTTTAATGCACGGTTGATGATAGTCCATGCTGTACGATGCAAACTTTATTGATTTTCGTTGTTCGATCTTCAATTGTGTAATTACAGTTATGAATTCCATATAACAAAACAAAAATTCGGCTTGCTTTATGTAAGCAGGTGATATTAAAAAACTGTTCTTTGAAATTTATTAATAATTATACCCCAGAACCCACTCTAATTATCAAAATACCACTCGCCAAAATCAAGCAAGTTATTGCAATCAAATTCGATTAGTCGGAATAGAAATATGATTGAGCTATTACTGATCACAACTGAGATTTACTGATTTAATTAGATAATCAAAAAGCAGTCGAACTATTAAGTATTAAAAAAAGCATAATTGTTGTTAAAATAAGCTTTTTAAGGTTTCATTGTGTCTGGATAAGAAAATTCAACTTTATGCTTGGTTGATGCATTGTTGTGTATATGAATTCATGTGATTATGCAGATTAATTGTGTGTTAGCAAAAGAAAACACACCAGAAAGTAAAAGAAAATTTTAAAATGATAAAATTTCATATTATACGATATAAAATGTACCTAAAAAGGAGAGTAAATCCGGATTCTTCTTCTTTTTCAAAAGCTCCTCCTGCTCCTTTTTCTCCTCTTCCAGCTCTTTCTTTGTCTTCTTAGTTTGCACTTCTCTCGTTCCCCAAGTGACAACATTCAAATTGACCAGTGAGTAGATGATGAGAAGTAGATACATAGATGGAATACTCAAAAAGTATAGGAGACCCGGGACTACACACATGAACTCCTATACATTGAGGAAAAAAAAGAGCGTATTTTACATCGGGGAAAAAGGAAGTGTACTGTTATTATATAAAAATTAGTTTTTTATAATTAAATTAAGTGACTGAAAGGCTTCATATACGTCAGGTCTGTTGAAGCATTTTGGCTGAAAAGTCACATCAAAATTAAAACAAAATAAGAATTTGTCAGTAGAACAAACTCGAAAAATAAAAACGCAAAAAAATATACAAATTAATAAACGTATAAAAAATTAGTCTCCTTTTACTGAAACTCTAATTCAGAACTTAATTAATATATTTCGAAAACATATTTCGTTCTTCTAGTTCATTTAAGATCAAAAACCAAAAAAGATTCAATTAAATTTTCATTAAATACACTAAAATTAATTTAAAACCGAAAAATCGCATCTCAAATGTATCCAGAATTTTCCCTACACGCTTTCGAAACACTTAGAAAAGAGTGTTTGGTTTTCGAAACACTTCAAAACACTTAGAAAATACTTCCAACGTTCTGATATTGGACATCTTGAACCTTAGCGCATCGAACCTTTTTACAAGAAGTATAAATCTTGCTTCTCCAGAGTACCTTGAATTCAACTTTTTTTTTTTTTTTTTTTTGCAAGGAACACAGTTTGGAAAAGATGGTCGTCTTGAGAATTCAGTAAGTTTACATTTTGTTCAATTTTTATTTCAAATAGGTTTTCAGATTTTAGCTGTTAAAGGCTCAGATTAGATTTTATATTATTTACAGAAATCTCTACTGAAAAGTGTTTCGTTTTCTTGGTATTGAAAGTTTAGAATCGCATAATCGGGAAACACCCAATTTTTGAGAGCTGTTTAAATGACAATTTGATTTAAAGTATATTTGTTTTGCTGTTTAATTTGTAATTGCGTTTGAACGTCGGATTTACATATAGTATTATTTGACCAATTTGTTTTTCTGAATGGTCAACTTCCATAATGTAAAGTTTTCTCGATTTTTTGAGTAATCAATTTGGCACAGTATAATGTTTTACTTTGTTTTCCAAGTGTTTCGAAAGCATGTAGGTAAAATTCTGGATACATTTGAGATTCGATTTTTCGGTTTTAAATGAATTTTAATGACTTTAATGAAAATTTAATTGCATCTTTTTTTATTTCAAATGAACCAGAAGAACGAAACATATTTTCGAAATATGTTAATCGACTTTCCCTGATGAGTTCTGAACTAGAGTTTCAGTAAGAGGAGATTTTTTTTGTACTTTAATATGTTTATAATTCTGCATATTTTTTCCTTTTAGTGTTTTTATATTTCGAGTTTGTTCTACTGATGAATTTTTATTTTTCGAATTTGTTATACTGATGAATCATTATTTTACTTTAGTTTTGATATGTTTAGATACAGTGTTCAACCATGGTTGCACGGTTGCAATTATTAATATTGTTGAGGAACTGCCTTGCTTTGATTGAAATTTAATTTTAATTTTAAATGCTTTAAGTTTAATTTACATCAATCTTATAGCTATAGCACAGGGCTGGTTAAAAAAGTTTTCTTTTTAATTTTTGGCCTATTTCTATGTTATTTTTTGTACTTATCTATCTATCTATCTATCTATCTATCTATATCTATATCTATATCTATATCTATCTATCTATATATATAATGCTCATTTGCACAGCCAGCTTATATATATATAAGCTGGCTGTATCATAATATAAGCTGGCTGCGCAAATGATAGCTTATATTATATATAAAGCTTATATTATATATATAATATACCTTATTATATATTAATATAAGCTTATATATATAATATAAGCTATCAATACAGCCAGCTTATATTATATATATGATATAAGCTGGATGTGCAAATGATAGCATTTTTCTTGCCAATTAGGAAAATTAAATTCTAACATAAAAATAGATAGAATAATTTTCAACAGTGAATGATTAAACGAATGATACATGAACTTTCATCATTTTTTTAAAATTTCAAACTTTAATTTTTAGTAGAGTTTCTTATAACGCTTATAAATGACCGTAGGAGTGCAGAAAATGTTCATTTATATATATATATATATAGATTGATCGAATAAATAAGCAACTTTTTTCGAGCAAAATCCTTAAGTTTTTCGAAAATGTCCGAATGATGAGTATTATAAAATTTGCACGTTTCTTCACCCCTGTTCAGTTGTTTTAAATCAGTATCAAACTGAAGGAAGATCTACGAAATTCAATCTTGATTTAAACAAAACTAGCCCTTACAGTTTACAAGCTTTTATAGATTCAACTTTATTTTACTTAAAGAGGTATAAAATGACAGAAAAATATTAGGCTATTTTAATAAATATGATTATTGCTTGCATGCCTTAGTTTTCTCGGGTCTGATGTATATAATAAATCAACAACTATCGCACACAGCCATATTTATACCTAATTAAGTTGAATCAACAAAGTTTTCCTGTTTCGTGCCGAATAAACATTTTAAAGTTGTGAAACATAATGATTATATAAAACATAGCATTATTTCATAAGTACAGATTTAAATCGCTTAAATAATTAAAGTACCACTCTTTAACAGAATCGTGAACTTTTCGACATTATGGTTGCAAATTATTGGAATCATTCAGAAAATTCTGTACAAGAAAACTTGCATTCTTAGTCAATGCTTAATCTGTAAATCGTTGGGGATAATTTTATTTAATATTTTACATATTTTTATTTAGTATTATCTAGAAAATACATACATCTTTATACTACAAAAGTATATACGCCCGTCTAAGTTTTCACATGAGCGTGTGTGATATGAATTAAAAACACATAAATAAGTATTTTAACATTTGTGTCATGCAAACTGAAATGACTTAAAATTCTGCTGTAACTTCTTTGATGTTTATTGAATTTATGTATAGAGGATGATTTAAAAAAAGGAGGAAAACTTCATGCACTCGTAAATTTACTAATTTTCTCAGGACAAAGAGTACCATCAACCTCTACAAGAAACAGAAGAAAGAGCATGTTATCGTCTTCAGCCATTTCCTATTGCTAGGTCTTCAAAATGCGCCCAGAGGACCATATGTTGTGCTTTTAGACTCTGATTCTTTTGATGTTTTTATTCTATGAGGATAAATAAAAATTAATGTCCCCATCTTATCTCAAAACTTCGTCAGCGAAGTTTTCCAGTAGTGCGTTTCTATTGCTCAACTAAAGCTCCAGAAATGAGGTATGAAACTATTTATCGCTGAGATAAAAATGCAAAGTACACACACAAAATAACAAATTTTCATTCTTTCCCGCTAGGTGATGTAGAATATGACTTTCTATTATAAGAAATAATCGTTTTGCAAAAGTGAAATCTCTTCTATCTCCTTTTAAACACCTCGCATATGTATTTCTCTCAAAGATAATGGAATGGTTTGAATTCACTTTTATGAACGTAAAAGGATGGTTTAAAAAAAGGACAATCTGAATAGAACTTTTTTAAATGGGAGTTGAAAGCAGAATAAATCTCTTAAGTCTGTATTAATTTCAAAACGAAGTACCAAATAGACCCAGCCACGATCTGGACTTACTCTTAAAATTAAAAGCGGTATGTATACATATGTAACACTGGGTCAAGCAATTAGTTTGGTTAAAATTTCCCTGGCACGGCTGGGCTATCTGAATTCTGTATTGCGTGAATATGGTGATAAAGATTTTAAACTTGAAATATTTGAACGAAGGAAAAATTTAAAAGCTTTGAATTTAAAAAATGCCGTTCATTTTTTTTTTTTTTTTGTATTTAATTGCTTCAAATGTATCTTAATATATTTAGAAGTCTAATTTTTGAAATTAAGTATTAGAAGTTTTGTGTAAATTTTCGTATGATAGCTATTAAGTACTTTCAATGACCTTAACTAAGTACTTTCAGTGACCTTAACTAAGTACTTTCAGTGACCTTAACTAAGTCTTTTCAATGACCTTAACTAATTTTCAGAGACTTGTCGAATTTTGTGGTATTATAATTCAATACTTGATCTAAATATTAATACAGATATACATAAAATAAATTATAAAGAATAATTAAATAAATTGTAAATTGTAAAAAAAAGTAAAACTAATTGGAAATTGTAAAAAAAAAAAAATAAATAAATAAAAATAAATTGTAAATTGTAATTGTAAATAATAATATAAATAAATATATAAAAATCTAACATAATATAAATTGTAAAAAAATAAATTGTAAATTGTAATTGTAAATAATAACATAAATAAATGAATAAAAATATAACATAATATAAATTGTAAAATAAATTGTAACTTGTAATCGGCTTCAAAACAGTTAATATCACTACTTAAAGAATAGCAACTTTTGAAATTATTAACGAAACAGTAACACAGGTTCTACTCTGGTTACCAGAGAAAATGTGCATCTAAACCTAGCTGAAAGTTTTACTGTGCTTTCATAAACTATGCAAGCTTATTTAAATTAGACTGATTTCCAGTAAATCAACTATGATTTAAGAATCTATCTTATGTTGTCAGCGATTAGGAAACAATAATTAACCACTGAAGCATATGCATTAGTAAATTCATAATAATAAAGTTTCGAAAGTTCAAATTACATTATAACATTTCTCTTTTTTTTTCTCATTAAAAGCTAATGAGATAGCTTTATAGGATAGATGAATGTTTCGGAGATAGAGAAGTGATAGAAAGCAGACACCTAAAGATTAAAACTTGTAGTAATATGAAATTTTGAAAATTCTTGAACTCACAACATTTAGTACTGCAAGACAGCAATATTTTATTATCGTCAATTGAAACGCATTTAATTTTTGTAAAACATGAAGTTTAGAGTATTTTTTGTTAATATTGCGTTTCTGTCTTCAAATAAATTTTCCCTACAGAAATTTCACATTAAAAAATATAATAAACGAGCTATGTGATGCAGAACAATGACATTTTCTCACTTGAGGATGAAGCACAGCGGCTATAAAGAAACTCCCGGATAGTGCTATAAGAAAAATCGCTGAAGGAGACCCAATGCCGTCCTCGGATAACTGGATAGAAGTTCCTACCAGTACTGCCATCATGAACAGGGCATAAGCAGCGCTCATTACCTGAGCCACCAGAATCTAGGAATATATATATCAGAATCGCACATTTTAAATTACTGTGGATTACAATAAATTAAATTTAATTAATAATATTAACAAAATATAATTTGCTCAAATAAAACTCTTAAATGTTTAAAATTACTGTGGATTGCAATAAATTAAATTTAACTTCGCAAGTCAAATATCATGATTATCAATTTAAAAAATCTGATCTGTGCACCACATGACTTCCTCGTACGGAATATTAAATTATGTCATTTTTTCTTGCATTTCATTTAAACTTATTGGATTGAATTAAATCTACTACCACGATAGCGCATAAACAACCATAGAACAAATGCACTCTTTAAACTTCACTATATTTGTTAACCATAGCGACACTTTGGCGCCAGGTTTACTTAACAGCGTTACATTTCGTTCATTTTTTAACTCACAATGCACAAAATTTATATCATCTTAAGAATTATCTAAACATTGCCACATGTTCTGTTCAAATACTATAATAATCTAAAACGATGTATAAAAGAAATTAAGCAAAGAACAACAACAAAAAAGAAACAGTTTTTCACAGACGATTTAGTATTTCTCATTCAATTAATTCAGCTCTCACTTCGCGACAAGGCAAAAACAGATAAAAAATCAAAATATCCATATTAAAAATTACGAAGTAAATCTTAAACACTTATTTCCTCGAAAAAAATTCCAGAAAGGATTAAACATGATTTAATTCGCAATAATAAAAGGCGTTATCTTTGTTATTGCAAAGCTTACTTTCTCTAGATTGGCAACAAATCTACTATTCTGCTGTTTCAAATGAAACAAGCAATGACCGCTATCGAAAAAATGATTAAGCTTAGCGGTACTTAAACAACTTTTAAATTGTTGATAATTCTAAAAATATTGCATACAGATTTACTAAAGGCATAAAAACCTTAACAGGAAGATAAGAACAGCATAATTCAATCACTTTTAAATCAAAAAATGTACAATTTACAAACATATAAGAATAAAAAAAACTGAGATCACTGAGCCGAGTAACAAAGTATATATATATATATTATATATATAACATATATTTATATACTTTTGGTGCGGCCGATTGCAACCAAACTACAAGATGCACTTCTACATGTTATAGCAGTCTAATATACAAAATTTCAACGTTCTGAGGCTACTCGTTTTTGAGTTATGCGAGATACATACGTACGTACGCAAAGACGCCACGAAAAATTCTTTTCAGAATTCATTTTAAATTAGTTTTATAATTTTTTTGGGGGAAAAGAGTCCGTTATCCTGTCCTTGCGTACGGATGTCACGCAAAAACATCGTTAAATTGCATTCGATAGCGGTGAAAATGGATATTTGACCTGAAATATTATGCCTGAAACTTTTCGCGATTACAATACTTCCTTTTTACTTCGTACAAGAAAGTAAAAAAGTCAAAAGTGTACAATATTGTGTAGTAAATTTCCTCGCATAATAGTCGCATCTAGATTTCCGCAATGAAAAATTGACAAAAAAAAAAAAAAAAAAAAAAAAAAAAAAAAAAAAAGTGCGACTATTATGCCAGTAAACACTTTAGATACATACTTTGTGGACTCTGTTCGACGTTCTGCTGGTGATCTACCCAGGATTTGCCGGAAAACTGTAGTCCAGAAATGACAGAAATTCCTTGCACAAACAGAACTGAAGAATTCTGTTCCATTTTGTCAAGCAGATAATAATAAAGTCATGAGATAAGAAACGTAGCCTTTTAGAATTCTATATGAAATTACATTGTTTGTGTAAAATTCCTGATGCCTGAAACTTTTCACGATTACAATACTTCCTTTTTACTTCGTTCAAGGAAGTAAAAAGCCTTTAGAAAATTTGAAAAATTTTATGTTAATGAAAAAAAAAAACAATTTCTGGTTATCATATATAGAAAAATAAAGCATATATAAATATTAGAAATTGTAACATCAAAATATTTTTAACTACGGTAAAATACAATTTATAAAATGAAAATCTTCAGCCCTTTTTACTATGCAAATTTTCAATTGAACCAAGACTTTTTATTAATTTCTTTTCAGCTCCTATATAATGTTTTTTTTATTGGATGTGTAGTGTGTAATCAGTATTTCTTTTATAGTTATCTAAAATTAATTAATTTTTTGATCATGTTAATCTCACTCGTAATAACATATTTATACAAAAAATTACGAAGGTGGGGAAAAAAATAAACACCCCGAAAGCTATTAAGAAATCTTTACATTTTTTACCTCCTCAATGATTAATGATTTGTAAATTTACCTAGGTCAGTACCTAGTTGAATTAATTAAAGTATTCTAAATCGACGCATTAAAATTTGGATATCACAAGGTTAAATAAGAGATTTGACGATATTTTTCTTCCGGAAATTTATTTCAGTTTTTCTTTACACAAATAAAATATTTATCAAAATAAAACGCGAACTGTACTTTAATTTAAAGTCGAGAATGTTTTCAGTATAGTGATAAACTCTATATGTAAAGATTAAAATAAAAGTGCTTGGTAATTCCACATTTACGCTGCATAATCGAATTTTTGGAAAATTTAAAGGATTCATTAGAAATTTTTTTCACTTATTGATACTGCACCCTAGTTGCAACACAAAGTAATCAACATCCGGATATACCTGTTTAAGAAACTTGCTGCTTTATCTCTTTTAACAAAATTTTGAGAATCAAGAATCTATTTTTTTTTCATTATTTTAGGAATTACTAACCCACATAGTTTACTCAAATGAACTAAAACGCATCATATTAACCCTTTTTACTAACCTGAATATCATTCTTGAAAATGAAGCAAACGGTCATGAAGATCAGGATAGGAATAATGTTATAATAAAAGGAATACCAATTGGAAATCTTGAATGCTGCTACCATAGCCCCCACCAACATAAGGAAGATGGTACCAGGTCCGAGGACTGTGCCCACCATCAACATTCCCTGATATATAATGTAGGGGAATGATATATTATCATTGATAGCTATTGTCTGTTTGTAATCTCCCAACAGGTCCATGATGTTGGCCATGGTTGAAGGGGCCCATCTTCTTCTTTGCGTGTAAAATTCTCCGAATCCTTCTGGGCAATGTGTATAAGCATCAGATGCTGCACTGTATTCGACTCGATATCCTCTTTGCAGCAGCAGAGTACAGAGCCAACGATCCTCACCTGAAAGTACACTGTATTAGAGATATGTTCATTTGTAATAGGTAAGAGTGATAGTTACCTAATCACTCCTAAAATTAGAGAATTATAAAATGATTCTTTCTTATACAACTTCAAAACTTTTATCTGTCATCATCGAAAGCATGGACCAGTAAGTGATAATATCAATATTATGCAGTTTCTAGCATTGCCTAGCGTTTAGAATATCATTAACCCCTTGCAGCACAGTGTGTCCGGTCTGGACTATTTTGTTGTCCAATGAGTGATTTTGCGCCAAATCTGGCAACACTGCCTTTCACTGCACAACACTTTATGACACCTGTAAACTCGCTTTGCGGGGAAGCTACCTTACCTCAGCATTTCCAACAATATTTTGAAAGATGAAACTGAATTTTCTTCGCTCGCGAATGATAGTTAGTCTTTTCTTTCTTTTATTTCAACGTATGATTCAACGTACGTCAGATAATTTTCTTAAATGTTTCTGTGCAGTGAGAAAATTGTTTACAATAAATTTTTAATTCAGTGTTGAAAAATGAATTTCTTTCTTAATTTTCTGCAATGCTAAAAATGTCTTCATGCTTTTAATTAATTCAAAGCTTTACCAAAATACTGTGATATTTAATAATAAAGTGGGCATTGGTAACAAATGAAATTTGAAATAATTAAGATATTCTTTCAACAAAATAAATCAGTGTACATATTTATTCCAATAAAGTCAAATAGAACTAAATAATTTTAAATATATGTAATAAGTAAAAGTTAAAAACATCCGAGGAAATATATTTATTTATTATAAAATTTTGGACACTTTTAAAATGAACGCAAAATAATATAAAAACATTTGTATTTGATTTGTATAAAAATTTTTGCGAACATTCCTTTCTCTTAAATAAGCATTTTGTTATATTGAGCGGAATGGCATTGTAAATGAAGATACATTTTTACTTACAAAATGAAATGCAAAGTACTTTTCGTATAAAAAATTGCATTTACTAAAATGAACTATCAAGAAAAATTAAGTATGAAAAATAATTTCATAAACTTACCTTGATCGTACTGCACGTAGTGTCTAGCCTCATCAGAAGTGGTTGTATACCTTCGCATAACGTTATCGTCCATAAGAGCTTTGGCTCTGAAAAGTGAAAAACATCCAGGGCTACAAAGCACGCAGCCAATCATGTGTTCAGTCGCTTTTTGAAGCCAATGGCCGATGGCGTACTCAAACTTTTGATACCACACCATGGGTCCTGAAAGAATGTGTTTTAAAAATAAAGTAAATTTTAAATATAAAGGTAGCTCAATTAGTACAGCAGCAAAAGGAATTTTGAATTGCTAATATATGGACAAAAAATGCTTACTCTAACTTAAATTCATAATCATAAATTCTATCTCTTACATGATGTAAGAAAAATATTACTGAAATTATACACGTTATGAATAATAACGTGTATAATTTCAGTAATATTTTTCGTTGAACAATTATTCAGTAATAATTGTTCAATGAAATCGACAACATAAAAGACTCCTATTACCTTACTTGGTACCATACTGCAGTATTAAGGCTTTTCATAGTTGGTTACACAGGATATGTACAATATTTATTTTCCAATCTATTGAACCGTCAAGTTTGAAGTTTTAGCATGATTTGGTTTGGTTTATTTGATTATGCCAAAGCACTTGCGGACTAGCTACCTAAGGGAAAAATGTCTTCTTGAAGTACTTTCTAAGGAAAACTGGATCATATACATGTTACACATGACGAAAACGGCCATTCAGCCAGCCCTTTCGCCTGGATGCAGGCTTTATACTGATTAAAGACTATGAAAGCTTAAACCACATGAAAAGAGTTGAAAATGAAAATTCTCCACTCAAACTATCTTCTATCTTCCTCACCATGAAATAGACAAACCTGAAAAGTCGTCTACGAAATTGCGCATTATGTTTAACGCATCATCCTCTACTACTTCAGGTTTAAGTCTGAACAATATTTTACTATCAGAAGAAGTTAAAGAAGATATTTGTGATTTTATTGTTCGATTTGGTAAATATAAAATAGCCTTAGCTGCAGACATTAAACAACGTTTAGACAGATTTTAATTGCCTCATCGCAAAGGGATCTTCTACGTATCTTATGGAAAGAGCAAGAAAACGACTCACCTATTATTTTCAGACTAAACATTGTTGCGTATGATACTAAATGTGCTCCATTTCTAATTATAAGAACACTGAAACAATTAACTTTGGATGAACAGCCATTTGCTTCTGAAGTGACTCTATCTGATGTTTATATGAACGACAAATTAACAGAAGTCCCTAATATTCAGTCTGCCGTAGAATTAAAGAGTCAATTCATAAAGCTATTCAGAAGTTGTGGAATGTTTTTACATATGGAACTCTAAGACCGTCTTCGACATATCAGTATCCAGAAAGGAGTTTCAATTTAATACCACTGAATTTACTGAAGCTCTTGGCATAATTTGGCAACCGGAATCCAAAATATTTACGTTTAAAGTTGCTTTCCAAGCGAAATCCTCTTTTAAGATGAGATATTCTTTCAGTCATTGTGCGGCTGTATGATCGTATAGGATTTATCAGAAGAATCATTTTTAAAGCAAGAATAATCTTTCAAAAGCGATGGGCTCTAAAATTGAACTGTGACGATGAAATACCTAAAGCATCTGCCAGTGAATGGAATCGTTTTGTTTCAGAGTTAAAAGACTTCGAAAACCTTAAGATAGAAAGATATGCTTTGCAGTCTACAACCGACAAAAAAGCTGTCGTAGATTTTACTGATGCTTTAACATCTGCATATAGAGCGGTGGTTTATCTAAGACCCAAGATAGCTCTTGTTCAAAGTTACGGGTAAGCAAATCTTGAGTAGCCTCTTTAAAGTCTCTATTGTTGCCACGTTTGGAGCTATCAGCCTTTCTTCTACTTGCTAAGATTGTTAAAAGAGTTCTGACTTATTTAAATTTAGACATTGGAAAGGTTATAAGGTATTTCTCCCGGTTATAAGGGCCAACTCCGTCATGAAAAAGCTGTTAAACATTGTCAAAAGTTCTCTGAGTCTTTCGTCATATTTAGCTTCTGAATCAGTCGTTTAGAAATTCTGTCCACCTCGATATGCCGATTTCGGTGGTATTTATGATGTCAGAATGAAATCCTTTAAACACCATCTAAAACGACTATCGGAAACGCAGAATTAACGCAGAACTATCGGAAGAATTTTTGATTGTTATAAATCAAATTGAAGTTATATTAAATAGAACCCCTTTGTTACCTCTACCTTTAGATCCCAACGACTTGAAACTTTGACACCTGGTCAATTTTTTAATCGGAAGACCCCCTTAATGCTCTGCTTGAAAGCTGCATTTCAAAAATTACCGATAATGGGCTTTTCCGCTGGCAAAAAACTGTGAAAATTAACGAAATAATATGGAAGAAAGGGTCCAGAGATTATTTAAACAGCCTTCAGCAGAGAAGTAAATGGTTCTTTTAAAGGATAATATAAAAATAGTTAATTTTGTATTAGTTAAAGAGGATAAACTATCTCTATGCACTTGGCCGTATCCATGTGACCATCCCTGGAAACGATCTTAAAATCCGCGTTCTTTTTATCAAACCCCTCAAGGACTGATAAAATATGGAATGTCTAACATTTGTATACTGCCTAGAAACGATTGAAAAACTAAAATTGCATTATAGTTCCTTGTATTAATATTGTATGTTTCTTCTACCGTAAAATCCAGTTTCTTTGTTTGTTGTATTACATTTATTTATTTAGAACTGATATGTGTCAAACTTTGAATGTTTTAAAGTATGCATATTAGTTTTGATATTTAGTATTTCAACGGCAGGCGAGATTTTGGTGTCTGATCGTCTGTTAAGCGAAAACTTTCTCGTTTACTGTTGTTGCCTAGCAACGAATCTTGTAATGCGCATGCGCTAATATAGTTTCTTTTTGATATTAATGTTTTGATAGATTGACGTGTTCTGCTTTTGAATAGCTTCTAATTCAGATGATAGATTATGAAGATATTAAAGATTAATTTCAAAAGAAGTTTAGTTTCGTTATTTCGTAGTTACAGCCCCAACACAATTATAAAAAGCACATAAGAGCTGTACATAGCTGTACATAAAAAATGTACAGCTAATTTGACACAGCAGGATGTTTACTTTTATGTAACTCGGAAAAAATAAAGTTTCATCTCTCAGAAGGAAAGGGCGTTGCACCTTGTTATCTAATTACCTGAACCCACGGGGTGTATTCGACCACAAGCGGCGCCTAGGTTCCTGTTTTTCTTCATCAAGTCGACCAGAAGTTGAACTGCGTGGGGCCTAAAGTTGATATCTCCGTCCAGGGCAAGGATGAATGTATTTTCAGCCATGGTGGCTTTCCTGTTGACATCTACAGGCAGCTCCATAAGTCGGTGACCCAGCAAATAATACATGTACATAACCTGCGGAAATAAAGCATGTTTTTATTTAAACATATAACTCTGTATGCCAAAAATAATTTGGGTGAGCAATATGAAAGGAATGCTAGTAAAGAATCTTCGAGTCTCTGAGTACTACATAACGATTAATTAATCATTATTTTGTACCACACACAACTACAAGAAAGGAAATAAGAATTTATTTCCCTTATTTAAATGTTTTTAAATCGGTTTAAGCACAATTAAACCTTAAAATACATTTGATATTAATTAGTCCATTTTGTGATTTAGAACTGTACTGTCACTTCGTTTCGTGATTACAGACAAAAACATCGCGGACGAAAACGTCGCGGAGAAAATAACGCAAGATGAAAACTTCGCGGTAAAACGTGGGAGAAAAAAAAGCGAAGAGAAAACATCGCAGTTCTAAAACGTCGCGGTACAAAATATCGTCGTTGAAAATCAAGCGGTTCAAAAACTTTGCAGTTTAAAAACATAGTCGTCGAAAATATCGTGGTGAAAAATAAAGAACCTACAAATCATCGCATGACGATAACATAGCAGACATGCGTTTTTCAGGCTTTAATAATTGTAAATGGATATTTGCATAGTGATTTGTGAGCGCAAAATGGAAAGAAGGCTAATATTTACTTTCATATTTTTTTATTAACTAATAAATTTTTAAAAAACAGAACAAGAAATTGAAACAAAACAAGAAATTGTCACTATAAGAGCATCAGATTAAAAAAAGTGAAGAAAATAATCTCATAAGTACGCAATATTTTTATCGATAAAGTCAGTTACTTAACGTCCTTTCTGTATTCTTTTTTAGATTATACTTTTCATGAAAAATTACCAGTAAAACTTCATAAAACATAATTTATTTTTAATGACTTTTATTAATGACTTTTGTTAGTTAACTATGTCAGTTTAAAATTCTGTTAAGTGCTATAAGTTGCATAAATTTTCTATGCTTACGTTTCCATTTTATATTTTAAACCAATATTTAATAATTAATTTTAAAAATATGAAAGTAAAAATTATCCTTCTTTCCATCTTGAGCTCACAAACGATTGTCCATTTACAATTATTAAAGCCTGAAAAAAGTATTTCTGCAATGTTATCGTCATGCGATGATTTTGTAAGTACTTTATTTTTTACCACTATATTTTCGACTATATTTTCGACGACGATGTTTTTAAACTGCGAAGGTTTTGAACCGCTTTATTTTCGATGACGATATTTTAGAGCCGCGATGTTTTAGAACTGCGATGTTTTCTCTCTGCTTTATTTTCTCCAACGATGTTTTGTTCCACGACTTGAGTTGTTTTCTCCGCTAAGTATTCCTCCGGGATGTTTTTGCCGCAATGTTTTCGGCGGACACCCGTTTCGTTACCGCTTAGCAGGATGTAAATCAGATAGAAATATTTAAGACGTTTGGAAAGTTTAGACAGAGAGCTTTTAGCAGCGATCTCACAATAGTATTTTTTCTTTTGTCTAACGCTGGGTATTAGCTATTCAGCATTAGCCATTTTGCTAGCCGACGTCAATCATGCACTTAGTAATTTGAGTCAATGCCTGTTTGCATTATAGTTTCCTTTTAATTAATTAAAGTCTTAAGTTCACCTTTTTGTTACTAATATCTCGCAAGCTGAGACGATTCAGTTTGTAAGAACAAATGATGAAATTGCTTAAAGTTTTCAATAAAAAGTTTTGTTTAAACCTTCTTCTGTTTCAGTAGTAATTTTCACACAAGGGGAGAAAACGCGCGCTAGACTATCTTAATAATCTTTCAAAAATTCAGTTAATTACAGAGAGAATCACTGAAAATCAATGATCAATTAAATCTGTAAATATTTTGATTTATTTTCAGTTACTTTAATGGAGGGAAAAAAAATAAAATAAAATCTGAAATGTTTCAGATTTTAAATTACATATCTTTAGAATTTCCGATACAGAGACTCACGCGTTGGAGATAAAAATGTTTTTTCTGTACAACGTTGCCATTGCTTGCTTTGAAATCCTTGAGTTTGTTAATCAAATATTCGTTAAAGTTTTACAAAATCGATAATAAAACAAATTCCAAATTTCGGCTTTCATATGCCCATATTTGCAGTAGGATAACGTCATTCAAAATTCGAAGACTCTATATACCGTTGTTTAATATGCACACAATTTTGCAGATTTTTCATTATTTAATTTCTTCAAATATAATGCAGGATTCTAACATTTGGTGGCAACAGTTTGAAAAGTAATTCGACGATTGTAGTGAATCGACGCAAAATCTCAAAACAAAAACAATAGTCCTTCATAATTTAATTTCTTTAAATATAAATTAGCTCTATAAAACTTTTGAACGTGGAAAAAATAAGTTATAATTCTATAAATAATATGCTGTCAGACTTTTTCTGTCAAATGTATTGTTGCGTCTAGCATTAAGCAATGGCCTATTAATTTGAGGAAAGTGGAAAATAATAATCTTAATTGTAATTTTAATGAAATAATTTTTTTTCGAAATCTTAACAGTTTCCGACAAACAGTTAATTATGGTAGTCTTAAGGCAATCTATTTTAGTAGGGATGTGTTTGTGGAAGGTAATCTAAAGGAAACTGACTCTATTACCTATTTATGTTTGAAAAACTAAGAAACCTCATGCAGCCTGTTGCAATCTCATAGAACTGACGCGGAGATAGAATGTTTCCATTAAATTTAATTTTGTCTTAAAATACTTCAGAAATTAAGCAACAATATTTATTCAGCATAAATATGTGGGATTTTAAATCCATAATTTTAAATTCTTAATATTTTTCCTCGCGCGCTGTCAAATTTTAGCTGTTGACTTCACGAGTGAAATTTGTAGAATTCTCGCCACTTTGTTTGGCTAGAGGAGATTTTGTTTGGTAAGATGATATAGATCTTGTATTAATAGATAAACGGTGTTATAGACGCTGTATTAATAGATGAACGATCTTATAGATGTATTAATGTTTCATTAAATGTGTTTTGTTTGAATATGAATTGTGATTTCGAGACTATAGAACCCACAAAATTGGTGTCAGAATCGGGATCAAATTACAAGCAACAAATAGAGGAATATGAAGCAATATTGGATGACAGAAGGAATATTTCTGTTAATAGTGAAATCGATGCATCAACTGCTCGAATTTTCAACGAGTCTTCTTTCGCTGTTTTTAATGAAAATCATGAGGTAAAACAAAATATTAGTAAGTCGTCAGTTCAATTTCTGTTTTCACAGTTTTCAAATACGTATATAAATTTTAATGATCTTGAAAGTTTGATTTCTAAATTTGATGGTAATCCGTATAATTCGGTTTACAAATTCATTGAAAACTTTGAGGATGTACTATCTAATTTGTTAAAACTAAATGAATTACAGAAACTGATATTCGCCAAAAGATCTTTAACTGGCAAAGCAAAATTATTTATTGAAAGTGAAATGAAAATTAATTCGTGGAATGCAGTTAAGGCTTTATTAGTAAATGAATATGCTGTTCAGTATAACTCTGCTCAGTTACATGAATTATTATCAAAACGTAAAATGCAGGAAAAAGAATCGCTATATGAATATTTTTTGGTAATTAAAAATCTATGTTCCAAAGGCAATATTGAAAACGCCGCTTTATTTGAATATGTTATTAATGGTATAAATGATTCTACATTTAATAAAGCTATTCTTTACGGTTGTAAAACGTTGGCAGAATTTCAGGAAAACTTAAGATATATGAAAAAATTAAATTTGATAATGATAAAAACAAACCCGTTAAGCCTAATTCTAAAATCAGACGCGACCATTTTGAAAGTAAAATAAAAACAAATATTCGTTGCTATAACTGGGGAAATCTTGGCCATGTGGAGAATTTTTGCAAAAATAAGAGCAAGGGAAAAAAATGCTTTCGTTGTAATTTATTTGGACACGTAGCTGCAGAATGTGCAAAAAATAAGACAGATATAAAAGATCTTGCCATAGTGAATCATATATTTGTAAAGAAGCAGGTAAATGATATGCATAAAATTGTATCGGGCTAAATCGCAGAATAGGCTGCATCAGTCGATGCTGTGTTTACTTCTCTTATGCTTGGACACGCCTTTTTATGACGTAATATTGGTTACGCCTCTTCTTAAAAACAAGTTATAAGTATGCTATAGCTTCGTATTTAAAGAAAACTTAAATTATATTTTAACTGAGTTGAAATGGTAGGTTTATAATGTTCTGCGCGAGATTTTTTAAATTATAAATCTACTTTTGTGTGTTGTGTGGTAGTGTTAGCATTTAATGCAACGAATTATCTCTCAAAAATGTATTATTAAGATACCAAACGATCCTTAGCAAACGATTAAAAATATTGAATGCATGAATTAAAAATTATAACCGTAACTTCTTAAAATACAGAAAAACATTTTGCTTAAAGAATGTTTTGATTACTGATGAGTGTGTCTAAATCGGTGCTTACTGCAGAATGGACGAGTATCTGAATCTGGATTTTTTTAATCAGTTGGAGCAAAGAGGCAAAAAGAGCGCTATTGAGTGGTGTATGGAGAAAAGTTTGATTGCAATATCGTATAAGAGCCCAATTTGTGGAACAAATATGAAACTAGTAGAGAGACGGTTTTGAGACGTATAGACGATTTTGAGTGGTGCACAATGCTGAGTTTGTGCAATTCTGGGATGTTTTTTAAGTGAAAATAGATCGATGTGTACATGGGCAAAGCCAATCTGTGCGCAATGCCAAGTTTGTGCAATTCTGGGATTTTTTTGAAGTGAAAATAGATTGATGTGCACATGGGCAAAGCCAATGTGGTGCGCAATGCCGAGGTTGTGCAATTCTGGGATGTTTTTTGAAGTGAAAATAGATCGATGTGCACAGGGGCAAAGCCAATGTGGTGCGCAATGCCGAGGTTTGTGCAATTCTGGGATGTTTTTTGAAGTGAATGAAAATAGATCGATGTGTGCACATGGCAAAGCCAAATGTGGTGCGCAATGCCGAGTTTGTGCAATTCTGGGA